AAAATAAAAAATATTATTTTAATATATTATTGAATTTAACGGAGGGAAAGAGCATTAATGTTTGTGAAATAACTGGAGGGAGGGCATTGTTGATATTTGTGTGGGAAGGAGAGGGGAATTTTGTAAGGAACCGTTATCGAGGCATCCCCAGGAGTCTTTAGCAGTAGGGCCAGGTTCCCTCATCTTTTGCTTTTGAGAGCCGACTTTCTTTATTGCTTTTCAAAATTCCCTCTTTCCTCCTAACAAAAACTAATCCCCAAATTACAAAAATGACCCTGTCTTGTTCAGCGATCTAATTGCCCTCCCATGGCATGGAATACAGATTAACTCATGGGCCCCACCAAGACCCCGAAAGCAACAAAATCTTTGTGCAGATTGGAAATGATCAGAGGGCTAATTGGGATTTGATCACGGAATTAGAAAGTTGATGGGTCCCTATTAGTTAGAAATGGGCCCCTCTGTGTTGGGACGAGAATATCGAAGGAAATAAATGAAATTCGGTCGCAAGCTGGTTGGGCATCTAGTACGTGTGAGAGAGAGGTGTTCTGTTTTAAGAGTAATATTTGTTTAAAAATATTGTAAAATTTTATTTATTTTTATTTTTTAAAATTTATTTTTCATATTAAAACGATTCAAAAAAATTAACTAAAAATATAAATAAAACAAAATGGTTGGGCACGAGAACTACTACTTCGATTTTGCTTGGCCTCCAAGACAAGAGAGGACATAAAATAGAGAATTACAGAAGAGGACAACTTCTTCGGTTGAGGTGAGTGGCATTTGTGAAATAAAAGGTAAAAAGGGAGGGCGATTACAATCAATGCATTGAGGTTTCCTTCCATCCTCATGTTGTCTGCTTTCGTTTTAGTTCTCCAAATCCGATGACTTTATTTATTTTATGTTTTAATGTTTTTTTGTTTTTACTCTCTTTTCGTTCATTAATTTGAGTTTTGACCGTTGCTTTTCTCAACGTCTCTCTCTCTCTCTCTCTGAAAGAAGTTGATCGTCTGCAGCAATATCTCTCCCACCCTTCTCTTCGACTCCGTAGCTACTACTACACTACTCCTCAGGTATGTTCCTTCATTATAACCCATTTTTCCATTACTTTTATTTATCATCTTACAATGATCATTTAGTTTTTTTTTCCCTTTTTTAGCTCTTCTCGAGGAGAGCTTCTATTCTGTGCATGTATGTTTCTATACAGACATAGCCTCTAGCATGAGTGCTGTGTTTGTTTTTCGTTCTTATATTCAAAATCCTGACTTGGGTTTCTTCAGGATTTTCTGTTCATTTATAGTCTAGCTCTTTGCTTTTTCTTATGAAACACAGCTTACTATTTGTTTTATTTTTTATTATCTGGGGATTTTAGTACTTATAAGAATATAAATTTTCTTTTATGTGCAACCAATTATTTGAGATGCTTAATTTGTTTTAGCAGATTCTTCCTAATGGGTTTTTATTTTTCTTTTCAAAACCAATTTCCTTTCACACTCTTCGTGTTTTCATTCAAACAAGTATTTCATCCTTTTTCTCCTCCTTGTATGCTCATCAGCTATGCGTTTTGCTATTTTTTCTTTAATTTTCTCATTTTGGATTTTTTTTTTCCTTCCATCTGATAAGTTCTGCTTTTATCACTGCAAAAGGGCCACTACTATTATTTAATTTCTTTCCAGTTTTTGCTTACAGCATTTGCAGGTTTCAACACGTTATCGGTCAAAAATGGTGCCTTTTTTTTGTTTATGTTCTTCTCTACTTTAAACCTTTATCTTCTTTTCTTGTTTCATTTCTTACTTATTGTACTCGTAACTAAAAATCATCAGTTTGGCACCATGGCCCTCTTTAATCATTTATAGACTCTCTTTATTCAGTCGAACTCCTTTTTGTATCATTTGGTAATTTTTCTTTCTCTCATGTTTGTCTTTTGTATAAAAATTTTCTTGTCCTTCTCTTAGCTTGAAATATATTTCTTCAGCTTATGATTATTCACCTCCAAGTCTTAGGAAATTATTCATGCTTTTGGGGTTTGAGGGGCTGTCTTGCATATAATTCTTTCAACAAAGTGCAAGTTTTTACCTTTTTCATATATAATTATTTTATTGTTGCTATGTGACAATTTGGAGAAATTGAATTCTTGGTTTCTAGAGAACTCATAAAGAAACTTAAAAGAATCTTAATTTCTTTGTTCTGTTAAGCAAGTGAGATATTGTTCTCTAACTTGAAAATAAAGAAAAGCACAGACAACTTTTTTAAAATCTGTTTTGTTTTCTTGTATCATTGCATGTGATGAAGAAAAGAATGTCTCGTTTATTACGAAATTCTTTTCCATCTGCTTCATGTTTCTTTCTGTGCATTAATAGTTAATAATAAAATTTTGTTTTTGCTGGACAGGTAGAGAAAATCCATATGAATCTGGTGAGGTACAAGAGGAGATACTATTGTGATTTTGGTTTTGATCCAAGCGTGAAAACTTCATAGAGTGGGGAGGGAAAGGGAAGATAAAAGATAGAAATGGGATGTACTACCTCAAAGCTTGATGAAGAAGAGGCAGTTCAGCTTTGTAAAGATCGAAAAAGATACATTAAGCAGGCTGTAGAGCAGCGAACACGATTTGCATCAGGACACTTGGCTTATATCCAGTCCTTGAAAAGAGTTTTGGCAGCTCTTAGGGATTATGTTGAAGGAGACGAGCCCCGGGAGTTCTTTTTAGATTCATTTATAACACCGCCTTTTACGCCTGTGAAGAAAACTAGTCCTGGTTTCATCTCATTTTCGCCGAAATCTTTCTCTGCAGCACCTATCCAATCTGGACCTACTTCGACTTTGAAAGTAAATTATTTAAGGTCAGGGGGGAACCAATCAGTTTCAGTTGAGGAGAGACCTCAATCACCGGAAACATTCCGAGTCGAATCGTACTCTCCAATGCATCATTACGGCGCTGATGGATTCTTTGCGATGCAATCCTCACCAATGTATTCTTCGTTCTTCTCGTATTCCCCGAACAATAGGCCCAGCATTCCTCCACCGTCTCCTCAAACTTCACAATGGGATGGCTTTTGGAACCCATTTTCATCATTAGACTACTATGGCTATCCCAATCGTAGCAGCCTTGATCAGATGGGTATGGATGATGACATGAGAGGACTAAGGCAGGTTCGAGAAGAAGAGGGGATTCCTGACCTGGAAGATGAAACTGAACAAGAAGACTCAGATAACAAGGCAAACTTAGCAGGAGAACGAGCCAAGGTTGTTTCCAATTACCCAAGAGAAGAAGTGCTTGTTGAAGATGTTGACGAAGATGAGGATGAGGATGATGATGAAACTGATAGTGACTGTGAATGTGAATGTGAAAGTGAACATGAAGTAAATGGGCCACAATCAGGATTGCAAACACAAGGTAGTGTGAAGATAGAGCTATCACGGTCTCAAAATTCAGGACAGGTTGAGGTTCACAATCAAGAAATGGCAGTTGGTAATGGTGAAGCCGCCAAGGTTGAAACACCAGGTTTTACTGTCTATGTAAACCGAAGGCCAACAAACATGGCAGAAGTCATCAAGGATCTTGAAGATCAGTTCACAGTTATTTGCAATTCAGCCAAGGTGGTGTCGGATTTGTTAGAGTCCAGCAGAGCTCAGTACTCATCAACTTCAAATGAACTCACAGGTTAATGAACTTTAAAGCTCCGGTTTTATTAACCCTGTCTGAAATAAGATGCGCTTTCATGCATATTTTGCCATTTTCCAAAGAAGATGTAAGACTTGCCTAATCATAACAGCATTTCTTGACACGTAGTCTGTCTGGAACATGAATAGCTGAAAAATTATTTGATAAAGTCCTAGTCTGGATCTCATTCACCAAATGCTTGTAGTGATGTGATTTCTTTATTAAATTCTAGCCTTTTTTTAATGTAATCTCTTGGTGACTCTGTCTCTGTTTCGAGTACTCTAGATATCATCTGAAAATCTTATGATCCCGCAGCCATGAAAATGTTGAATCCAGTAGCACTGATACGCTCAGCTTCATCTCGCTCATCATCATCAAGATTTATGATCAACTCTTCAAGTTCTAAAGATGAAGATTGTGATAGCAGTAGTGACTTCTCAGAGGAATCTTGCATGCTCTCAGGTAGTCACCAATCAACGTTGGACAGATTATATGCCTGGGAGAAGAAGCTCTATCAAGAAGTTAGGGTATATCTCAAATCTTCATAACTTCTTGAATGATGAATTCTGATGCCCTGGTTTTTCTAGCATAGAATTCCGTAGAAATTATTAGACATGCTTAGTATTGGACGTTTAATTCTGCACAAAGGGACATTAAAATGGTTGATGGTAGTAATTACTAAATTATATTGATGTGTTGTACTAATCTGCAACTGATTTTCTTCCTTTACCTTCTTAAACAGTGTGGAGAGAAGGTTCGAATTGCGTATGAGAAGAAGTGTATGCAACTCAGGAACCAAGATGTTAAAGGAGAGGACCCCTCTGTGCTGGATAAAACAAGGACAGCCATTAGGGATCTGCATACTCAGATAAAGGTTTCTATACACTCAGTTGAAGCGGTGTCAAAGAGAATAGAAACTTTAAGGGATGAAGAATTGCAGCCTCAACTTTTGGAATTGGTACAAGGGTACATACTCTATTACTTGTACTGTTTTTGCAGACCATGATAAAAAGTATTCCAATCCACGGAGAAGTGAAAAGTGCTTAAATAAAGTCTCTTATATCTACAATCTGACTTGAACTTTCTATTCATGTTCCACAGGTTAGCGAGGATGTGGAAAGTAATGGCAGAATGCCACCAGTCACAGAAGCGTACTTTAGATGAAGCCAAGCTTTTACTAGCCGGCACACCTTCAAAACTTGAAGCAAAACGGCACTCTTCCATGTCAGTTGCTGACCCTCAACGGCTAGCCAGGTCAGCTTCCAACGTCGAGACAGAACTCAGGAATTGGCGAGCCTGTTTTGAGGCATGGATCACTTCTCAACGATCCTATCTTCACGCGCTAACCGGCTGGCTCCTCAGGTGTGTTAGGTTGGATCCTGACACTTCAAAACTTCCATTCTCACCTCGTAGATCCAGTGGAACCTTTCCAATATTTGGGCTTTGCATCCAATGGTCAAGGTTTCTTGATGCAATGCAGGAGATGCCAGTTCTTGATGGCCTAGATTTTTTTGCTGCTGGGATGGGGTCTATCTATGCACAGCAGCTAAGAGACGATCCACATAGGGTCCCAGTCAGTTCAAAGAGATTTGGAGCTGGGTTTTCAGCTGAATCAGGAAGAAGTATGGAATTGATGGAGGTTAGTGAAGTAGAAGATGTAATGACTACAGAGAAAATGGCTGAAGTTGCCATAAAGGTACTTTGTGCAGGAATGTCAGTTGCAGTGAGCTCACTGACTGAATTTGCTATTGGTTCTGCAGAGGGATATGCAGAACTTGTTAAGCAATGGGAGAATGTCAACTCCCAGAGTTCCAGTAGGGCTGGAACATAATTCAGGATATCCCAGTGGATAATTTTGCTAGCACCGTTGATGTAAATTATATGTTATAACCTATATGGCAAAGGTAGTGTAGAAAAGTTGCTGCTCCTGCTAATATATTTGTTTGATTGATTAGTTACCAAGCTAACCAAAGAAGAACACGGGGAGGCCTCTAGAAATGGAGCTGGTATTGGAAAAATCTATCAAATACAGAGGCTCGATCTTTTTCATCTATTTTCTTAGCAACCAAAGCTATCAGACATCATATTTTGTCCCAATAATGTTACTTGAACTGGTCGAAACCAATAAAAAAAAAAAAAAAAGCTTCTCTCAGTTGCTACCAGTCAAATGATTCTCTCAGTCACCTTTCTCAGGGATGTTCAAACAGGTGAACCAACCAATAAAAAAACTGAATATCACCAGAAATGGTAAACAAAGAACCAGAAACAATGTTTACGGAATTGGAAGCAAATCAATGGGAATGAATGGGTTGCTTATAGGCTGATTATTTACAGAGGATTCATGCACATAACTGCAGGGGAAATTTCCTGCAACAAGGAAGGAGTCTTTCTGAATTTTCAATATTAACATCCAACTACATTTGCCACAATTCTCTCTCTGAACCACCTTAAGGTTCGCCTATTACTGTGCTTAAAGAAAAGTTGATCAAGCACACAATTAATAACCTTCAACTGTTGGATGATTATTCTTCAAAAATTTTACATGGAATATAAGAATGAAAGGTAAAAAGGAAATTATCCTTCTCACGGTTTTAAAAGAAAAGGTCGAGTAAAATACAAATTTGTCAAAGAAAAACAGGTGCTTCTTCAGTCATAACTGAAGCCTTCATCATCATCAACCCCCACCTCAGAAAAATCATAACCGCCCATGACAGATAGAAAAACTAAAACAGCAACTAGCTGTGTTACTAAAAAGTATTTTGCCCTTCTTCTGAAAGTTTTCTCCTCTTCTGTCTTTTCCCTCTTGGGTTGCTTCTTAGTCTTTGAACCTAGTGTTGAAAACATATGAAAAAAGTTAGGAATTGTATTTGAAAAAAAAGACATGGTTGGTACTTTTTCACCTATTATTTCCTAACGGTTTTTATTTTTCTTTAAGCATTTTAAACAACAAACAGTTATTTTGATGACTAAAACACGATCCATAGGCTCGTTCGGTAACTTAACAATCCACAACTCAAACACTATCAGATAACCAATATAATATACACGTGATTGAAAGATGAAAATATCTTACTTGAATTTGAAGGACGTCTTGTTGAAGTTGATGAAGCCTCTGAATGGAATTGTGGGGCAGAAGAAGAAGATCCACCCTCCAAGTACTCTGATTTAAGTTTTTCAGCATATCGTATGAGATTACCGTGCTCCAAGAGTGCAAGTCGCAGCACTGATGATTCCTAATAGCATTGAACAAAACAAGAGAAAAAGCAGTGAAAATATTTAAGTAGGGCGGAATAGTCAAATGCTTGGAACCACACCATATTACGTAGACAGAATACCCATAGCAAATCACGTGAAAGTCAAATGAGTAGGAACCATGTTAAGAAGAAAATGACTTCAACAGGATTTTTTGATGGTAATGTCTTTCATAACAGCACAGATTGCTGTCATATTCCTGAAAGAAATTAGTGGGCCTTGATTGTTAGATATTTACTGCAAGGCTGCATGTAATCATGGAGATTTTCATTAAGGTAACATAATTTACATGCAAACTGCTCTTTGTCTATGTGAATGTAACAATATGTTTGAGATCCTACACATTTTGTTGTAAATATTCTCTTCATAAGCTTGCTCAAACACCGAAGCATGTTATATCCAACAGGTTAATCATGTTTTAGGTATGCCTGTGCATTCAACAATAGAAAGTGAATGGTATAATGTAGTTTTTTTTTCTTTTTTTTGGCACCATCATACTAGGTCAAGCATATCCACACTTTCAGTTGTATATAATCGTTCCAACCATACAAATAGCAGCAGTCAGCTCACACAGATCATGCAAGATAAATGGTACAGTGACTCACAGGTAATGCTTGAAGAGTGAAAAGCACATGCCCAAGGAGATATGCATCCAAACTAGATGGCCTGCACAAACAGAAAAACGAAGTAGAGTGCATCATTAGCAGGTCAATATTAAATTTTACTTGACATCAAACTTCAATAAAATATAGAAGCCAAAATATCCCTAATGAATTTCCTGTAAAAAAGAAAAAAATATATATATTAACCGTGATATCCAAAAGAATCACCTTTCAAAAAGAAATGTTTGATCCCCTAATGTGGTTGACAAAGCTCCATATGCAATTTTTGCTCTCTTGTAAATCTATTCAGAATTAAGAAAAACACAAGTCCATGCTGAAGGAAAATTAACAGAAAAATGAAGAAAAATATAAAAGGCTAAAATCATTCCACAGGTGCATGCTTTTTGACACTGGTGCATGTGTGCATATTTGAGAGAGAGCGCACATATCAACAAGTTGCAAAAAAAGATTATCAATGATAGAAGTGTAACCTCTGCTTCCTTTCGTTCAGCATTTTCTTTTGTTATCCCAAATCGTTGCTTAACAAGATACACTTGTTTCATGAATAAAGCCTTTCCTATTAACCAAGGGAGGTCAGAATAATAAATTGCACGGGCAGAAGTTCCATCAGATCCCACCCATAGTTCATACATGACTGCCTCAGCAAGCCAGGTGCTAACCATTGCTTTCATTGATATCCATTCTGGGAGAGAGCAGAAAGCAGCATCCAAATCAACAATGCCATCTTCCCTTAAACGTTCAATAAGCCCACCATTCTCGTCATTGAAGGCCACATAAGTGCCTGATTCGATGTAAGGAATTTGATCTAAAATAGAAAGTCAGACAAGCGTTTTGAAGGCAATTTTGATATTTGCATGATATATTTTAGAAAACACACATATAAGACAACATGAGCAAAGCACGCACCCACGTGAAAATAAATACAAAGTAGATTCAAATTTTTTGTGCGGTTGGAAGTTTCACGGAGAGAAAGTAACATAGAGAAAGTGAGTGCAAAGACATGCATGCATACATAAGAAACCGTGTAATACAAAAAAGAACCTTTCAGATTTTGAGAGAAGATTCACTACACATACATAATTAAAACAGTAGACTTCTACAGTTCTATGCTACAGAATCCCCGGCAAAATGATAAGAGACAAAAGTGAAAGCATAGCTAAATTAACAGAAAGCCCAGTTACCAGAGGAAAGCCCTTCATTGAAGGCTCAAGAAAATGAAGTTAGACTTTAGAATACATAAAATTTCAGAACAAAAAAAAGTACATGGAGATACCTTAGTTGTGACAGAAAAGAAGACATAGTTTCTCCCCATACTACTTAACATGGTTTTTATTAGGCCATTGCTTGGTTCAATGGTAAAAATCTTGGGTTTGCAGCAACAAGGATATAGGTTCAAGTCTAGAGAACAGCCTTAAGAATAATAAAGGGTAGGACTTTCTCCGCTTCAATGGGACTACAACTGGCTACTGAGAATGAAACAAATGACATAACCATGTCTCCAGTTGTTTAATAAGGATTCAAGCAACTCAGGTATCAATTTCTTCACAGGAACTAGTAAATAAAAACAAAAACAAAAAAAATATTCATTATTCTTGTAATGCTTTCAGCAAGAATATTGAAAACTGGCTGTCAAGTATTGTCAATTAAACAGCCAATACCCATCAAACATAGTCCAGGTAAAGCAAATGCAATCTTGAATACTAATTACTTAACTCCTTCCCATATGACAATGGCATTCTTTAAAACAATATGGAAGTCCTAGAAAGCATGTATCTTGGCTTCACTTATTCCATGACCCCATCATACCCATTCAGCAACAATATAGCAACTTTCAGATTTCTAAAATTTCTTAGTGAAATGAAAGCATCGAACTTAAACACAATTACAGAGCCGGTAACAGAAAAATGACCAGTAGCCATCTTAAACATAATCAAATTAACATTCATTCCGTGAAAAAGAACTTGGCTAAAGAAATGAGGTTTTTTATCTTGGTGGTTTTAACCTATTAACACATAAGAAGCAAACTTCAACGAAATAGAAACAAAAAAACAGCCAGAAAGTCAGCCATTAGTAACTAAAAACAAGCAAAAACCCAGTACAAGAACTTAAAAACATCAATATAATTGAATGAAATTAAGAAGCCAAAAAAGAATACCTGAATCAGGGAAAGTGTTATTGAAATCCAAACGGAAAGGAAAGCTAGCAAATTTGAGGTGGATGTAAACAGGCAAGCAAATTGGACAACCAGTAGGGAGTCCGAAACTGGGTTTTCTTGCAACAAGAGTATACTCTGCTCTTTCTTGTGATTCTTGCATCTCTCTCTGAAATTTTCTTCTTCTTTTTTTTTTTTTATTTGCTGATGATCCTCTTTTGGCTTCAAAGCTGTGAGGGTATAGGGTTTTTCAGTCACCGAAAAGAAAAATGGTGTGCGGTGGTTTTGTATTCTCTAGTTTTGTTCCTTCGGCCCATTTCAAGTGCGGGTTGGGCCTTCTTAATCTTTCTCTTTTCTGTGAGAATGGGCTCCAACTCTCAAACTAGTTACGACGAAGTTGATTTTGTTAATATAAATTTTGATTTTTATAAAAAAAAAAAAACATTTGAAACGATGTAGTTTTAGTAGAAAAAACTTGTTCTTCTTTTCAATAACCTGAGCGAGGACGAGTCCTGGATCAATGTGTTATCAAGTTGAGTTGTCAAGAGAAAACCTGCAACTATAAGTTATTGTGTTAACCTATTAAATCATGTCAATTTTTATAACAGTTCTAAACCTTCCTGAACAGATAATACTAGATAATTGAATAACGCTGCAAATTTTTTTAATATAAAATAAATATTCAAGTGTCGCTAAAATATTTTCAAGCAATAAAGTTATTTTTTTTATTATTAACTCAAAATTTGATGCATAATTTTTTTTTTTAGATTAACATGAGTATTTGGGTCAGCTTGCACGTACCACGAATAATCCCACGAGCCCTGAAGTTAATGACCATATAAACCTCTAGTAGTCATCATATAAACAACTAAAGACTCGAACCTGAGACTACAAAGGAAACAAACCTCTTGATTCTAGATTCTTACCACTTAACCACCACCTAGATTAACAAGATAGGTTGAGGATTATATATGTCAATAAACAACCAAAAAACATTTTATTGCTAACTAAAAAATAAATCATAAGGTTGAGAAATAGACAAAAATAAAGATACATGATCACGTATTGCGAAAACTCTTTAATTTTTTAACTTAATCATATGGAACTAATGTTTTTTTTATAAAAAGAGCAACAATTTAAATTTGGTTGACACAAAATAATTTTGTAGTACAAGTCTTCTTTTCTTATTAATAATTTAAAAAAAATACGTATTAATTTTTATATGCTATTTGTCTAGTAAAAACCAAAAGCATCCAGAAAATATACTACAAAAACCATGAAGATTTAAAATAAAAATAAAAAAGATATTTCTCTGAATAAATTCATTTTATCTTATTAATGTGATCTTTTTCTTTTAAATTTTCACTGAACATCTCATCATTTTCAATGAGTTTCAATTCTAAAAAAACTAACACCTTAATAAACTTGATGCAATGTATAGAAAACATAATAATAATAATAAAAACAATATTGGTACATTATAGCAAGAAACTCTTAGGAAGCATCAATAAACTCAACTCGGTTGGTTATTCTTGAAACTTTTCGATTTAAATTCTTATTTAGCATGAGTTTCGAAGCAAATTATATATCAATTGATTTGTTATGACCCGATCAACTTGGTTAGTCCAAACTCAACCCAAAACATTGATAAAAATATGACTTTGACTAAAAAAATTCAATACAATATTCTTTTCTTTAATATTGAAGAGGCGACATATCAATTCAATCTGGGTTAGCATACGACCAATGTCATAAACCTAACTGGTTTCAATAAATTTATTTATAGAGGTGACACGAGAGTGCCATCCAATGGTCTTATTGATATTGAGTTACCTGAGTTTGGGTTGACAATGTAAATAAATAAAGTTCTTGGTATTATTTATTGTTGAACTGAGAGTCAAATTTTATCTTGAATTTGCATCTCTTAATCACATGGAAGAATAAATTTATCCTGTGTGATTTTAAATTTCAAAAAATGATATTTTTAGATCATCTAACTATACATGCATTGAAGTTATGTACAAAAAGTTATGGCTATTTTAATTTATGAGTTTTTTATATGTATATTTATGTTTCCAATTAAAAAACAGGTGTTATTTATTATTTGTCTAGTTTTTTTTGTTAGAGTCATTTACTCTGATCAACTCTATTATTTTAGTTTATCTCTAGACTTAAAGGGTTGGTCTAAGTATATAATGATTATTAAAATCATGTGTTAAATATCTTTTGTTAAAATTTAGAATTAAAAAGTTTTTGACTTAACCTTTCATCACTCTATTCAATTATATATCTCTTGGTGGGTGGTGAATTTTTATTTCTTAACTTTATATTTCTAAAATGAAAAGTAAATTTGTATTTTTAAAATGATAGATTATTTATATATATATCTTTTTGACTTCACACCTTAGAGTGTTGAGCATAAATTGTTATTTTTGTAGATGAATGATTTATACTTTATACTTTTACTATCCTTGTATCAAGAAGCTTAGGTGCCAAGCATACCTAATTTTTTTTAAATATACCCAAATACCTTAGAGTGTTGAGCATAAATTGTTATTTTTGTAGATGAATGATTTATACTTTATACTTTTACTATCCTTATATCAAGGAGGTGCCAAGCATACCTAAATTTTTTTAAATATACCCAAATATGTGGGCTTGTTAGTTAATGCCCTTAATTGGGTTATTATTATTATTTTTCAATTAATAAAAGATTTATTTAACAAAAAACAAATAACAAATCATGACTAATGATAAATAATACATCAATTACTGTCTAAAATCTAACCACTATAAAAAGTGGTGTAATGTTTTATCTTAAAACTTAATTTCACTTAAAAACATGCTTATAACCTTAATAAATTACACTATTATTCTTGTTGTGTGTGCCAATAAAGACACAGAACTATATAGCAAAAAAATTATTTCTTAAACCATTATATACATTTTACTTCTTTTCTTTTCATTCTAGTCATTTTATCTCAAATTTTAATTTGCAATTCAATCCTTAATTTCAAAACTTTTCATTTCCTTTCCCCTTTTCTTTTTATTTAAAAACTAAAATTCCCTCTCCATACATGAATATTATTTTCAAGCAATAAAATACACCTTTGTACCATTTTTGTTCTTAGTTTTTATAAAAGTTTTATTTGTTTTCAATTTCATTATTTTTTACTATTTAGTCATATATTTGTTTTTAATATATATATATATATATATGTATGTTGTGTGTGTGTGTTTTTAATCATTTTATATAATTAATCTTTTCAATTTCATCTTTTAATATTTGACTTGATGAGAATTGAGCTTCACTATTTGTTTTTATATATATAGTGTTTCCAATCTAATAACCTAAATCACATGTTTGAAAAGTTAACTTTTTTATTTTATCATTTAATCCAAATTTAAAGTATATTATTTTTTTTTCAATTATGTCCTAATTCTTTTGGTTTTTTTTATTTGTCAAATTTTCTTTCAATTTCATCTTCAAACAAACAAAATATTAATTCCACCCTAATTTATTTTTAATTTTGATTTCTATCCCCATTTTACACGCGCGCGCGCACCCGCGCGCACACACACAATATATATATATATATATATATGTATGTTGTGTGTGTGTGTTTTTAATCATTTTATATAATTAATCTTTTCAATTTCATCTTTTAATATTTGACTTGATGAGAATTGAGCTTCACTATTTGTTTTTATATATATAGTGTTTCCAATCTAATAACCTAAATCACATGTTTGAAAAGTTAACGTATGTTGATATTTTTATATTTTTCTTTAAATAGGATTTTTCACTACTTTAAAAATGACTGTAATTGTCTCAAGTTTTTTTATTTGGTGTTAGTTTTTTATAAATTTAATTGAAAAAAATATTAATTAATTAAATTAAATTAATTGCTTAAATACAAGCATTATATGCTCATTTTTTGATATTTTATTTATTAGAATTGAGCTTAATATTTTTATTTTAAATTAAATTAAGTTTATCATAATTTTATATTGAAGAGCTTAAATTTTATAAATTAATTATAGTTGATGCAATATCCATTCATCACCATCTTAATAATTTCTTTAAAAAATTTGGTGTCCTACAGACCTGATCAAGGAAAATAGAAGCTATCTCTTTTCGCACTTTACGCATGGCTGCAATCATCGCCTATGAAACAAGATTAATGGAAAAATTTATAGGACAACTTTATAAGAAAATTTGGGATTTTAGGACTGATTCATATATATATATATATATGGACATAAGTGACTGGATAATGTGGGCCTGTTGGATTATTCTGGGCTTCTTCATTTGCAGTTTTCCAAAAGTTGCCATAACCATTCACAAATCTTGAACCATATTCTTTATCCTGAAATTAAGAATGGCAAATGTTTAAATTTTAAAAAATAAAATAAAATTTTATTTTATGTTTATATTATATATATATGTTTCTGCAGCTATCCCAATAATCTAAACATAAAATAAAATTTTATTTTATTTTTTAAAATTTCAACATTTGCCATTCTTAATTTCAGGATAAAGAATATGGTCCAAGATTTGTGGATGGTTATGGCAACTTTTGGCCCAGAATAATCCAACAGGCCCACATTAGCCAGTCACTTATGTCCCTTAAAGCCCATTTATTAGGGCTAAAACAGACATTTCGATCTCCTAAAACCCTACCCACCAACATATCTATATATGCACGTTTATTTCAGCAAACCCTAGCCCCCTCTCTTTCCCTAACTGTACAAGTATCAAGAGAGCAGCGAAAATGCCGCCAAAGTTTGACCCATCTCAGGTTGTCGACGTTTTCGTGAGGGTGACCGGCGGTGAAGTTGGTGCGGCCAGTTCACTTGCTCCCAAAATCGGACCGCTTGGTCTTTCTCCCAAGAAAATCGGTGAAGACATCGCCAAGGAGACAGCCAAGGACTGGAAGGGCCTCCGTGTCACCGTCAAGCTCACCGTCCAGAACCGTCAGGCCAAGGTCACCGTCGTGCCCTCAGCAGCGGCTTTGGTTATCAAGGCGTTGAAGGAGCCAGAGAGAGACAGAAAGAAGACGAAGAACATAAAGCATAATGGGAACATCGCTCTTGATGATGTGATTGAGATTGCAAAGGTTATGAGTTCGAGATCAATGGCTAAGGATCTGAGTGGGACCGTGAAGGAGATTTTGGGGACTTGTGTTTCAGTTGGGTGTACGGTCGACGGGAAAGATCCAAAGGATTTGCAGCAGGAGATTACTGA